AGAAAGTATTAGATGCAGCCAAATATCTTGTAGACACTAGTGAATTATTTAAAACTGAAGGCATAAAAGTGCAAAATGCATGGGTAGATGGCATAACTTTGCAACCCCTGAAGAGTGGGGTGAGTTTGTTCAAAACCCTAACACATCCAGTGCTGATGTGCAAACTAATGAAATCTTCACAAATTGTCAAAACAATATTTGCATTGCTGATGTTCATAATCCAGACAGAGAAAAAGACACCGAAAGGATTACCAGTGTTTCCTGTCAAAATGTTATATATATTAGATGAAGACCTTATTTCTATAAACATTCTCAACTAATGGCTGCTTATTAACATGATGCAATTTTCAACTTAACACCTTACAAATGCAACACTTCTTAGTTCCAAAAGAGGCAAAGGACAGCGCTTCATAGAACAATTACCACATACCATGAGGTAGCTCGAAGGAGCCTTTGATTCTCCTTCAGTGCTGTTGGCTTTCAACTGATACAACTCGTTAGTTCTTGCATTGTCCGCCAGGAGGAATCAATAATGAACAAAAATCTGTGATAACCGTAAAGAGCTCTTTGAGGGCAATGAGAGGGCCTAGCATCCCTCTCAACTGCTGGGGTTTGCTGACCGGTTCTTGAAGCAACTAGGAGTTAGGTATTAAAAGTTGCCTTGTTTTTTGCAAATTGCTTGCATGATTTTCTCAGATGTGCTATCATTTAGGTACCCATTTATACGTCTGTATTTGGAGGAGAAGTCTTCGAGAGTAAACATAGCAGGGGCGGATTTAGGGGGGATGGATTGGGTGTCCATCCCCCCTTGGTGAAGCCAAACATGACAAAAATGAAAAAGATTGTAAATAATTTGGTAGAAAAAAGGCAAAATCTCTGGGCAAGTAACTAATTGTAATTTCTAGTTTGTGGCATTGTTAGTTTTTCTGCTGTCTTAGGTTTTAAGTCTCAAATTGCAATAATTTGGAGGCATATCCATTGATTCTGCAATCCCAAAGTACTAGCCACCCCAACCCCCTCCCTTTAAAAGTCCTGGATCCGCCCCTACATGGGGTACTATGAAAAGGGTCCCTGAAGAGGGCGTAGGGAGATCAGTTGATTTACTCCTCGATGAAATCCTTGGGCATACAAAGAAGGATCAGAAGATGAACTCTGTGATTCTGAAGCTTTCAGTAGCCTCAGCCTTTTCTACATCATTAGGCATTGCGCATAGCAACCGCATTTTCACGATCAGGTTAAACCAAGTTTGGTCTCTTTTGACCTTTTTCCAGTATCTTGAGCTGCACTGCCGAATTAGCATCTTTTCGCGTTCCATTATCACTGGGTTAAATTTCTATCGATTTGCTTCATTTTGCGAAAATAGTGAAATCAACGATAGCGTATCCAAGATGGCAGAGTCAAGCTGGAGGATTACAACGCGCCTTGTTACGTTATATGACGTGATATCTAACAAAAAGGCACAACCCAAGGGTGGGTTCACCGCCTAGGGCCATGAGGGATGAGTTTGCTTGTAAGTCCGAAGCTAGATTAAACTCACTAACATACTTTTCTCTTATCTTTTCTCAGATTTCTGCAGAAAAACCTCATAGGTAACATTACAAAAGAGATGTTTACCAACCTTGCAAACCTCCAACATTTGTAAGTATGCAAGGTCAAAACATCCAGACACTGGCACTGTTGCTAGAGGTGTCAGTTGTCAGGAGCCCATGACCCTGCAGTTGCCCATTAGATACACACTGCGTCAAAATTAACAATGCACCATTCTGTAGGTTCAACTAACATTCACGGCTTGGCCTTCTGAATAACTTTCAAGTTTGTTCTGTGCGGCCACCACCCCTTTAATTTCACTCGACCTTAATGCTCCTTCAAGAGCTAATTGTTCTACCATAAAAGCCGATATCATAACTTCCCCTCTGTATCCCAGATACTTGTAAATCCTACATGCTGCAATAGAGCTGCAGAATCGGTGATTTGAATCTTACAATGAGATATCTGGTATTTAACATTGTTAGATTGCTCAATCAGAATAAACTCCTCAGCATCCCTAAAGAGGGATTCATAAACTTGACAAGTCTGAGGATAATGTAAGTAAAATTCTTATCGTGTTCAATTAAATAAGCAAGCTATAAATCATAATTTGCAGTGACTTTAGGTAACCGCTTGATTTTCAATCCAGTCTCGAATGAAAAGAGCAAGAACAGCTATGGGGTCATCTTCTGAAATCTCCCCATGAATAAAAGCCATTTCAGCTCAAATAACTGACGTAGGGGATGAACCACTGTACTTTGAGGGGGAGAGGATGCGTAATATTTTTTGCGCAATTTTTTTTCTTTTTTTTTTTATGGTTAGGCCGTGCAATATTTTTTTCAATTTGTCCCAGATGCGTCTTTTGCGTCGCTCGTCGATATTTTATTAATGTAGACTGTGTATAACTTGGACCTGTCTGTAAGTTCGCTTCAAAGCAAAGCTGCTGAATATGTTAATAATTTCATGATTCCAATAGTAATGCGTCTTGTTATGTAATCTGCAGACTGCTTTCTGATAACAATATCACGACTATTGGAGACAGGGCTTTCACCGTTCCAAATGGAAGATTGCTGCTAGTGTAAGAAAAGGCTACTTAGTTTACTATTATAGCTCAACACTAATTTGTTTCGTTCTCTTCATTGGCCAAAACTGATCACGTGGTACGGTCCCTCGCGGGCATTTTATCGCAGCTCATAAATTGAAGTTAGAATTACGATGGGTGAAAGAGGATTCTAGGATGAAAACTGCAGTAAACGAAGATACGGAAAACGGCGCAGAAAGATATCACGCTTGCTTTGTACGTTTTTGCGGGCCTGAACGACCTTATTAATGGAACATAAGAAAGTTCCAAGCACTGTAGATTTAGCCAAGCGTAAAAGCAAAGCTCCTAATCAGTTACTGGAAAAAAATAACTGCTTAAAGAAATTCAGCAGTAAGCATTTCGCTAAACCAAATGAATCGAAGAAACAAACGGAGGAAATCTCAGTAAACGCAATATGCAAATAACTACGTGCAAGTGGCAAATGCAAAATCACACACAATTGTTAAGTACTCCAATTTTTAGATCCGAACAGGAAAGTGAACTGCTATAAAGAAATAGTTCAGATCCATAGCTCTAACTTATTTCTGAACTACGTGAAACATTTCTTAACTTTTTGTATTTCATTATATTTGTTTAGGACCTCTGCATATTTATTGTTTTACTTGTTTTCCTTTTAGATATATATTACGGGCAAAGCTTACAGAATTTTCCGCCGAAAAGTTTAACAACATTGAACACACAAAATCGGAAGTGTAAGTATTGAACAAGGGTTTTCATACCTACTGTTAATATTGAAATAGCATTTTGCTTGCATGGATCGAGTGCTCAATTTTTGAAAAGTTATAAATTTTGCGGAGTAATGCACGGCACCTTTAACTTCGAAATAACCACAACAACTCATAACACAGTCGTAAGCGCAAACAGATTGTTAAAAATTTATGGTTAAATGTTGTAAGACGTTGTATTTCTGGTAGCAATGCTTGGTCAATGTTTTATTTTTTCACAGTGTACCTTTCGTGTTAGAGGGGTTTTCAGTTGAGTGTCGAAAATCACTTTGTCCCTTCAAGAAAGATTTTTACCACAATTGCTACTAATCTCACAATCTGATTGGCTGATTTGCCGTTGTCGATAAGAGTCCAGACAACGCTGCTCGCGACAATGTGTCACGCAATACCTTTTGTAGCTCGCGCTCTGAAAAAAAAATTTTCTTTGACGTTGATATTGTGGTAAAAAACAAATCGAAATTTGTTGTGGACTCTCTCGGCCACGCCTCTTGAGTCCACAACATTTTGACCACTGTGATGACGCGTATCGTTGTCGATAAGAGAACATACCACGCTAAACTACATTCGATTCATTCGATTTGTTAAGGAGACAACCCAGTGAGCCAATCAAAACTCGAAGAAAATGCGTTGAGCCGGCGCGAAGAGCGGGAAAATGTCTGTGATTTAGTCACGATTGCTTTTGGTTGAATTTCTAATTGCTAGTTGAGAAAGTGGTGGAAAATTTTCAAATCAATCACTAAACTGCAAGACCAAAGCATTGCGAATCAGTATTGTAGTGGAAATCGCCCTGAATAATGATGTCTTTGTATTTCGCAGAAGCGTGGACGAAGCGAAACCCTGCGTAGCAAGATTTACAGATGTAGTTGATGGTGCTATGCGGTGCAGAGTTCACATGTATGTAATGTTTCGTTTAAACTTTGCCGAGATTTGCGTCCATTGAGTTGTGCTGTTAAGAGATCTCGCGTACATTATATCTATGTGCTTTTTTTCTTCAGATTTAGAGAGCTAAAGTATAACGACACGGAGGATAACGACTACATCGAAATCTACAATGACACCGGACGGCTGCGGAACATCGTATTGAGGACTTTTGTTCAAGCTGGATTTGCCAAAAAAGGCAAACATGCATACCAGATGTATCCATGCCCCAGGGGATGGTTTCTTAATTCATCCTACGACGACAATACTGAACTTGAGTGCGAGAAATGTCATACAGGTAGTGATATTTTAACAATTCATCAGCGCTTCTTAATCAAATACCAGTTGTACAGGCATTTTATTGCATTTTTTAACTTCTTATTTTGTTGTTGTTTTTGTTTGTTCTTTTTCTCGATTGAGGGTCCCTCGGGGACGATTTAAACTATGACATCAACAATGCAATGCAATACAATAGTGCAATAATGCTACAATTGCAATCAAGAGATCCACCACTGAACCAAGACCACTTCTAGAAATTGACCAGAAATCTCGAGAATTAAGCAGCTGTAGACATAGCCCTGAGTTGGAGTTATGATTTACATTGAGCCTTTGTGTGTGGTTTCCGGAAGTTGTGTTCTGCAAATCCCGTGGAAATTGTAAAAAGTGGGATAACTTCTATGGTTAAGACGTAGTGTCGCAAATTTTTTGGTCTAGTTCTTTCCTATTTTCAGAAAAATCTGAAGTCAAATATTCACAAATGCCTGCTAGAAAGTGCTGACACGTAACATGCAATGTAAAACCCTGAACAGAGTTACGGATTAGTTCGTGTTTTCACTGTTATTTGCATATAATTCGCTTGAAAGTGAGACTTAGAGTTAGGTACAGGTGGGCCTTTATTGTTTTCATTCACGTCTTGTACAACTCAAAACTGGACTATTGAGGCGAGGATGCGGCAAAGGGCGCCGTCTAATTACAAACCAGGGCAATGTCATTTCATGTGGGACCTTGCTATTCCTATCTTTTTTTTTTTGTTCTAATAGGTGGCTATTTCTCTAACACTGAAGCTCTTGTCGGGGACAGTTGCCCGGAGTGTCCCACTGGCACCTATGTCCCCTTTCATAAAGCACCTGGAACAGATCGACGAGACTGCCGTGCTTGTCCGATAGGTAATAAATGATAAGAGAACTGATAGCTGCAAACGCACCACTTCTACAGTCTAGTATTCAGAAGTTGTGAGATCGTGACTATGCTTCTAAACACAACCTCAAAATTAATCCGTTAACTAATTAAAGGCTATCAGCATTTATAAAATTCAACACTAAACTATAACCAGCTAGCATGTGTGCCAAGGTGTTTTCTCTTTTTTTTTTTCTGACAGGATCAAATACCGCCGCATTCGCTGGGTATAAGGGTTGTACCTGTATGGAAGATTTCTACCGTATGGATCGGTTTTCCAATTGCAACTCTTGTCGTACATTGCTAAAGGGATTGAAATGTGAAAATGACCTTGCCTCTCTCGAGTCTGGTTATTGGTGGAATTGGGTAAACAAAACAAACGAACTAGTTTACGAAAAATTTGCGACAAACCTCCTTAACGTCATTTACAGACCTGGTAAAAGCATCAAGTCTGCTATAACTTATAGTACCGAAAATGCGTTCCCCTACAAGTTGCCCAAGATACACAAGTGCGAAAGGGAAAAGTCGTGCACTGGAGGTATACATTCCTCATGTGAACCAGGCTACCAAGGTCCAATGTGCGAGATCTGCATCGATGGTTACTATAAAAAACTGAAACGATGCATGCGGTGCCCAACCAAAACATCGATTATCGTCCAGCTGTCAATCCTGGCGGCAGTAGTTGCAATAATCACCGCAGCTTTGGTTTGGATACGCACGATGAAAAGCAAGAAAAGAGACGAACGTTCTTCAGCGGATATGATTTTCGGCACGCTGAAAATTGCTATTGGCTGCTACCAAGTCACATATGGAGTTATGGAATCGTTTTCGTACGTTACGTGGCCAGACTATGTTGAGCTTATTGCAGAATACTCCGAGTTTTTGCAGCTGAGGTTTTTCCAGATAGCACCAATTTCCTGTCTCATGCCAAATTATAAAATGGATGCTTTTGGAAGCCTGTTTGCCATACTCGCATTGAATGCTGCTGCCATCTTACTGTCTGCCCTTGTTTATGTACTTAGCAAGTTATGTCTACTGCTAAGCACTTTGAGCAAAGAACAGAAAGAGAAAAAAGCGTCCCGAACCAAAGCGCTGATTTACGGAAACTTGTTTTTCTTCCTCTACGTGACTTACCTAAGTACGTGCTCAATGACAGCCAGAGTGCTCCCATCTACTTGTCGCAGAGTTTGCCTCGACAAAAATGAGACGACATGTTCCATTTATCTTAAAGCAGACTACACCATAAAGTGCGAAGGTCAAGAGTACTACAATTTGGTCATCGTTGCATACTGCGCTATACCTTACATCGTCTTTCTCCCCATTGCATCACTTATCGTTGTTTGGAGAAACCGGAAATTCCTTAACAGAAATGCTATCTCAGACGAAAAAGAAGCTTTGAAGCCACAAGATCAAGGAACAGAAATCATCACAGGGTTACGATTCCTCGTTGAAAACTATAATTCCACTTCATGGTACTGGGAATTCTTTGAAATTTGTCGCAAGTTTGTTCTGACATTTGGTACGATCCTTGTAGGTGGATACAGAAGGGTCTATGTTGGATTAGTTGCTGTCGTCTCAGCTCTTTATGGCACGGCTTTCGCCACCTACAGGCCTATGAAGAATCAATTTGAGTACACTTTGATGACGCTTTCTCTGAGTGTCACATTCACAAATTTGGGCATTGGAACCATCAGTAAAATTCCAGAAGAGAAAGCACCAGCCTCCCTTTACGCATACATGGACAGCATCTGGTACCAGCTAACTATGTTTATAGTTAATGCCTCAGTGGTCGGCTACATCATGGGTAATTATTGATTCATGTTTTATCTAGAAGTACGACGTATTTATTTAGAATTAGTTTGTCAGCCTGCCCACGAGTTAACCCGAGAAACAACCTCTAACATTTAACACCAAATTATCACCTCTAACATTAATTGCTAAATTGTCAAAAGTCAACAAAAGAAAACCATGGAATTAGCTTCGAATTTGGAAGCAACTACATCCTCTGTCGCGGTCAAAAGGTGCAGCTGGAAACTGATCAATCTTACTCAAATCATGCTAGAGAAGCGAAAAAGATGGTCTTGACTGAACAAGACTGCAAAAAAGCCAGATTTCTGTTGACGTAAGTGACACATATCTGAAAACAAAGCTGCTGTAGTAGAATTCAAGTGAGCTCCTTCTACAGTGCTAATAATTTAAAATATTGTTTGGGGTAACCAAAAGGAAATAGCATTGCCTTTCCTGTAATCCTCTTTCTCGCTATTCAGGGCTTTTTTTTTTTTTGAACTTCTCTGACCGATGGAAGAGGGGTGCGGGGACGAATTCCGCATCCACCCTTCGAAACTTCAAGAATATTTGAGCAATGATAGTGAAATGCCCTATCCTCCCCCCTCCCCCCTCCCCCCCCCCCCCCNTGTGTCTTTTCTTGTATTAACTGTAGGATTACATTTACCGCACAGTGTGACATGAACCTTCGCTTGTACCCAATGGACATTCAAACTTGTCCTTTAATCATTGAGAGCTGTAAACAACCCCATAGACGTTTTTCACATTTTAGTTGGAGTGAAATAACCGCTTTCGTTTTCTTTTTCTTTAAAGGGGAGAGGGGGATGGGGGAGCTTCTGCATTGGCACAGGTAACAGCTATGCCAACTTACCGAATGATATAATCCTTAGCACACCTCCATAGTAGGGGTTGATTTGCGTTATTAAGCACCACTCCCACCTGAGATCCTACCAAAAGATTGCTTCAGCCTTTATCTATTAGAACACAGTAAATGATTGTGGCGTTTTAGCAAGGAACTTATCTTTTCTTTTTCATTTTGTCGCAGCTCATTACTTGGATTGCGTTTATCAAAACATACAAGAATGGTTCGCCCGTGAATATACAGAATGGTCTTTTGCTTGTTTTCTTTCCATTGTCCTGCCTCTTCATGAATTGAAGGGCGAAACGCATAGCAGCAGCGGGGGGGACATCATGACGCAACCGCTGTTATCTGCAGATATTCTGTCGTCCCTGCACAGCAGCAGTTCAAACGACAGCGGACTGGACCTCTACGATCCCACTGAAGAAGAAGAAACTAACCTAATGTAAAAGCAGGGGAGCCTGATAAAACGGCTGATAATCTCAGCGAGGATGGGCCAGGATGAGAAGCCGAGAAATACAGGCTAGACTGCATTTGCCTTTAACTGTACGAAACATGAAGAACTCATGAACTAAAGTCAGATTACGTTTTGATCGTAGATGAAGCGACATAGTTGTATTCTTGTAATACAAAATGAGGTAGTCTATCATCGAGTATTGATATTTAAAATGGTTAATCATAATTTATAGAATATTATTGCAATACCTACCAATGTAGCTGAATGTATAATCCCGTTTTCAATATTTCTGATCCTTGTTTGATCATTTGCATAAAATTTGCACAATGCAGATTTTATTTGCCACAATTTTGTTATCATTTGTAGAGAGGTTTCCATAGTTTGAGCGGTTTTTGCCTTTCCTGCAACCAATTAGATACTAATAGAGCAGTTTTCTTTTGAGTGTCGGAAGTAATTGCATTTGCTTAATGATATTTGTAATAATGAATTATATACAATTTATAGAATATTGTTGCAATACCTACCAATGTAGCTGGATGTATAACCCCGTTTTCAATATTTCTGATCCTCGTTTGATCATTTGCATAAAATTTGCACAATGCAGATTTTATTTACCACCATTTTGTTATTATTTGTAAAGAGGTTTCCATAGTTTAAGCGGTTTTTTCCTTTCCTGCAACCAATTAGATACTAATAGAGCAGTTTTCTTTTGAGTGTCGGAAGTTGTTGCATTTGCTTGGTTTTGGATTAAAGAGGTTTTCAATTGAGCGTCGCAAAATCAAAACCCCAGTAATCACTTTGGCCAATCACATCAAAGGACGCAAACAACTAGTGAACCAGTCAATACTCCAAACATGGGCAAGGGTGGGACAACGTGTCAAAGCAAGTCATGATTGGTTTTGGTTGTAATTCTGATTGCATGACTAAGCGGAACGAGAATTTTTGAGCCAATTGCTTAACATAGTGGATCTTGTGAAATACTGCTTGGTTTATAATATCATAATCTTGAAAAAGTACATAACATGATGTAAGATTAAAAACAGAACATCTTTGGGATTTCTGCGTAAATAAAGATCAAATCTGTGTTTAAAGTCAATCTTTGACTACATTATTACCTCGGTTTTTCCTTCCTTCCAAGTTTGTAACCGAATAGAACAAAACTTCATTCCCAAATAACTGAATTATTTGGAGCAAATAACAATTATTCCGAGTAATTGTTGATAGCGCCGCGATAAACACAAGCTTCTCGTTAAGGTATCGTCACTGAAGCATGAAAGATAGGTCCGCAATGCGCATGAATATCTTTGGGGGCATTCATACCTGATAGTTGTGCGAGAGTTTGTACGGAAGGGTAGACTTCGTCGTGGTTCAACGACAGGGTTAAAAATAACGTTACGCTGGTCTCGGAAAAATTGTCTGCGCGTGCCCCCGCCACCTGGAAACCAATCAGAACGTAGACTATTCTCGTCCCCAGTGCTACTCGTTTTAAAAAGTCGTTACGTGACCAACAGAAACAGAGGTTCTGGGTACGAGAATGAACGTAGACTCGGACTCGGAAAGTAGGATGGCGATTTCACCTGACTAAAACAATATACTGTTGAATGAGGTTAGTAACACTCGGAGAAATTTGCAAGCTCCTTCAAGTTTGACTTCGCTGAATTGAAAGTTTGCGGCATGTCTACGCTTTCATTAGTTTTATTTCTTCGATAGAAAAAAAGAATAGAGTTTTCAAACGAATCCAGGCAAGTTTCGAGGGAGGAAAAAAGAAGGCGAGAAAGCTCATTAAATATGCCCGATGTAAATGAGTGTCTCGGCCGACACATGGTTTCTTAAAATTCTGAATTTGCCACTTGAAATCGCTAGCGGAGTAGTTTTTCCAGGGTTTTCGACAATATTCTGGCGTATTTCAATTTTCTTTGCCTCAGTTTTGGTTTTGGTCTTTTCTTTCTGTCGGGAAACAAAGCAGCGTGGGTGCGAATTTTGCGAGTTTCGAGTCCAGAGATGCTGTCTAATTTGATTTCTTTTTGCTGTCACAAATAGGGGAATCCCCGTTTACAATATTTGCCTCATTAGCATAAGCAATTCAGTTTCTGATGGAGCTACAAATAAATCAGTTCTGAATATTGAAAGGTCATAGTACGATTAACTCTCCCAATTAATATGAGCCTGATGTATTGAACACTTTTTGTGCAAAACTGGTTTAAAAACTTAAAATTTTTCAAAGAATGAGCTCATTAGCACGTTTGCCACCTAGAAATTTCGTAGTTTTTGAAAGACAATATGTCCTTGAATATTACACCCAAAGAGCTAAAAATTTCACCAGGTATTAAATTTCACAAGCTCTTTAGTTGCCTGGAGTCAATTCACACATACATTTTATTTTTGTTTTCAAATTAAAATTACAATTATAACATGCCCGCGGATAGCTGAGCTGATCTAGGCGGGTCATGTTTACACGAATTATGGGTCATGTTTACACGAGTTATGGAGTTGATTTAATAATTCATGTCCAATTTGTTTCCTTCTGTGCGCAAAGCCGTATGCAAATGAGCAAAAATGTAAACAATGACTTCAGCATGCCCCTATTCAATGTGGAATTAATTGACTCTGACAACAATGGAAAAAGCCATCGAACGAAACCAGTGAAAGCGCCGAAACCACCAAAACGAACCCGCCGAGACAACTGAGACGGTTGAAACGAGTAAAACAAAACGTAATCGTCGAAATGAACGAAGCCGATATTATCATTGAGAGCATATGAACCCAAAGCAACTCCATAATATTATTTGGTCTGTTAGGCTGACGAAATCAGAATTAACAATTTCTTATTTTCTGAATGAGTTTCAAATTGACAAAATAAAGAATAAATAAATAAAAGATGGAGTGAGTTGAATACTTATCCCGATAAAGACCTTACCTTGGAGGGGTGGGCTATTTTGGTCAGGAAAAACGTGGGTCGTTCTCGGTTGTGACCAAGTCTGTTTACTGAAGAATACCACCAGTGGCGAAAAAACGGAAAATCTGTTCAGAACGCATGGAAAAACATATGTCCGATTCCATTCAATTTTGAATACAAAAATCCGACCATCCCAGCGGACTGTCCAGTTTCCCAGAAAGAAATTCACGCCCAAAATTAGAATCAAAAGCTATGAGACTCTTTATTATGGGTTGTCCGCGCTTAAAATCCGTTTCATAAGGAAAGCGTGGGTTTGAGCGGTGGCCTAGTGCAGTATCAATATTCAAACCTCAAATATGCATTATCCCTCTTACTACGCAATATTAGCATTATATTAAACTTTGCAAGGATGTCATTTGCGCTAAGTCCAAAACTGGCAAGTCACCCCTCCCTCCACAACCCTCTTGGTTACTTTATTAGCACTCTCAGTCTGTCCTGACGCGTTTACTCGTCTGGGGTGGCTATCCCATACCTTAATGCGAATGAGTAAACAGGAAGGATAATGTGTCATGTGGAAAAGGGATGTGTGATGGGGATGGGGATGTGCTGTTGAATTTGTTGCTTTTTTGAGTTTTGAATAATTTACTATACCGATGAAACAAAAAAAAAAACAAAAAGAAAAGAAAAGAAAAACACTGATCAAATCCAAAGTTACTGAGTGGTAATTTAGGCAGGGGTGCTTTGACCTCTTTTATTCTACGCAGTTAACAAAGATAGGCTGAAAAGGAGGCGAGGTTAAAAACATTGTTAGCAAGACTTCTCTTATCTTAGGTTCCTGAATTGCCTCAAGCTCTATAATTTGATCAATCTCTGTGTTTCTCATCGAATAAGGTTTTTTTTCCTCCGTTCTAGCTAGGAGAGGAATCAACTACTTTATCTGGCCACAAAAAAATTTGTTTCCGCTGGTTTTGGTCTTCCAACCGTTCCATAACTGTGCCTGGCTAATTTCTCGAAGTTAATGCGATCCCAAGATTTTGATCTTGGCTCATTTCGAATGCAGTGCGGTTCAGCTTGATGCTTGCACACATCTTTGTTACATTCAAGATTGTTTTCCCACGCTTTACATGACTCGTCTCTTTTGGTATGTATTCTTGCATTCGTTGCCACGATGGATGAAGCTCTCCCCAGCTCTAGGTCATCTATATTATAAATAACAATAAAGAATTGAATTAAACAGAGAGTTCTACAGCGTCACTGCTGCTGTAACTGGGATACCGTCATTTGTGGGAATGGCTGAAAAAACGCTTCGTAAGGTGGCAAATACCGTCATTGGAATGAAGCAGAATGGTAATGCAGCAGTCGGCATGGCAACTTTCGATTCAAGCTTCACTTGACCAAACAGCAATGACAACGAATTACGTATTTGTACTCGAAGTTTAGTTTTCTAACGTCTAATTTTAGGGGTTTCCTTTTTTGAATTTCTCCACTTTTCAAATATCATCAAATATCTCAAATATCATCATCATCTAGTCCTCTTTGTCCCATGGGGGGCATAGGGCGTCCACCTCTGTCTGTCTTAAGCCCCTCTTTTGGCCTCGCACTAGCTTATGTTGATCTCCGCCACTACGGCTTTCTAGATTCTTAAGGGTAAAGGTTAAGGTTAGGATTATCTCAAATATACTGCAGTGTTTTTGCAAATGTTTGTGAAGTTAAAACTGCAAGAGGAAATTGCCTTCCAGTGGCGTTTCACGTCAGTTAAACTGATACACAACAGCACACGCTTTAAGCATTTTACGGCGTTTGATATTAACTTTCTCGAGAATGTTTGAGAGTTTGATCGCGGGGGCACTGAGAGAAATGAATTAAAGTGAGATGTTTCAAATAGTATTCAAAATGTTAACATGCTTTGAGTAGACTTTTAGCAAATAATATTTGTACTTATTGCTCAAATTATGAGTGCAATCCGTATTAAACGTACGACATAGGTATCAAACAACGGGCAAACAAATCAGGAGTGTGGAATTTCTCAAATACGCAAAAGTTATTTACCCAGATGAACAACCGGGATCTGGTTAAGATAGTTTAATCTATTGTTTGCGCTCTCGCAACCCTTATACCCAGATTTTAAAATGTCGAATAAATCAAGTACTTCTGGCACAGTTGTACAGTTTAATAACAAATTCATTTGGCACTGATGATCACCAATGCGTTTTAAAAACAATCAAAAGTGAGATTAAGTATATAAACCTAGACTAGACTATATTACACTCCGGCCACTACCCCCGGGATTATAGACAAAGGTGAAACTATATTACAAAGTCTAAGAGAGTGTGGGTGGGCAAATAAAGAAAACCCCGTTTAACCAGTATTAAAATCCAAACTGAGGAAGATGTAAACTGATGCAGGCATTTATGACGCGGCATTAATTTTCCCCTCGGGTTCCGACATTCGTGTGTAAATGGGACCAAACAAATGTCAATACTAAACTTATAAAATGATGCATTAATTATCTTACACAACAGTAAAGGGGTAAGCTAAGTAGTCTAGAGCCATTTCTAGTCTATTATGTGCATAAGAAAAGATTTAATTTAAACACTGTCCGGTTGCTCGGTTATATATAGCGATATCTACCCTGGTTCAAGAGGTTCTCACTTTTCTGTGGACCAGGGCATTCCATATCATATGGAAGTGTCTAAAATAACAGCCGACCAAATAATCGAAATATCCTTTCTTAAGGGCAGACTGTAATTTCATCTTGCTCTCTTTTGAAGCTCGTTATGTACAATTTCCTATCCCTGTTTATCATCAAGAGGAAAATTTCCTCAAGCTTGTTCAGTGAAATGTCTCCCTTTAAGTAAAAACTTCAAAAATGAATACAATACCTTTCGTAAATTGCTATCTTAATCTTAATTTCTTCCCTTTTCTTACGTTATAATGACATCTACCCTGTAAAATCGTGTTTATGATGCTACGGAACATAAAAATGTTCACATGCTGATCGCTATTAAAATACACATCAAAATTGAAGCTAGCTGCGGCCCTTGTTAACTTGTTAATGTTATTCTTATAAGTAAAACGCCATATCCAAGTTTGTTTTAATACCGCTGACTAATAAATCCAACTTGTCGAGTTATTCCTATAAGGTCATCTCTCTCGAACAACAACTGAACTGGACACCTTGAATTTGTCTTCATGATACTTCAGACACATGCTCCCTTCATCTCTGTCCAAGGTAGACAATAGCTGGTTGCATTAACAGATGATCCCGTTCTCCTAGTGGACTCTAGTTGAAGTTGACCGTATATTAGATTGCAAGCTTGCCATAGAACACAGAACTCGTGCTCTGTCTAGTCAACTGCATGCAGCTTTTGAGTTTGGGTCTTGACCACAATTTGATGACATGATGAGATGCTGGACGAGAGTGTTTACTATCTTGAGGCTTTACTCTAGGGACAAATCAAAACACAAGGACGACGTTTTTAAAATCTCTACAGTACTGGGCTCAAATAGAAATATGAATTATCCACAGAGTTATAAAAAGCATTCATTTGAAATTTATTCACCCTGTAAGGCTAGCAGCCGTAAATGTTAACAGTATTAAAATTTATCGAATTTGTACATTCAGCGGAGATTGTGTCATAATACCCCCTGTGGAATTGCTGGCTTCAGGGTAAACATTCCTTCAACTCTCATTGCCTATTTTTTCATATATGGGGAAAAAGAAGCTTTTGTACCTTACTTAAACAAGACATTTGTAACGTAACGTTGTGCAGCCCTTCCACCAACCCTTTTTTAACCGCAGTTGATAGCCGGTCAGTATCTCTCCACTTTCGTTCCGGAGGTTTTCCGGTCGAAGTTGGTCTTCCATAGATCATTAATGGGAATAACAGGATAGAGTAATACAGAATTATACGATCGGTTTTTGCCTCAAATCTATAAAAGTAAGTTAAGAACACAATAGATATGGAATACCTGTTGTAAGAAGTTGACTGATTGTTGAAGATTTTGTGTTGTGTGTAGAAGTAGAAACGAGTCAGTGTAAAATATCGAAATCTTTACCTCTATACTAACATAAGGAGGGGTTCTTCTTCTTCTCCGTCTTCGTCTTCTCCGTCTTCGTCTTCTCCTTCTTCTTCTCGTCTTCTTCATCATTTCTTCACACATGAACTTGATAGATCTTTCCTTTCCCTCACTGAGTCCCCAAAGGATTCTTTCCATCTCCATTGCGCAACGTTTTCCATTTCAGTGGCTTAAAAAGAGGAAACAGCTTCTGGAAGGACAATTTGGACATTGAAAGAACGCAATGATGCAGAGCGGTATTCCCATCATCGTCCACACTTTGAACAGAAATTTCATCGCCACGTCTTGTGAAAGTGGGGACTGATTTTACATTTCCACTTTTTACTGCCACAGACAAAGCGGACATTCCTGGAATCAGTCCTTTTGTAGTGGAGGGGTTTCTGTCGAAGTTTTGAGGCAGCTCACAATTGATATCCACCTTTTTTGTGGTGATGAGGTACTGAAGCACATGAGGGCTCATGGAGGGCAGGGAGCAAGCTTTCAGGAGTGCATTGTAACCTTTTTCGTCCTTCGTCTGCAGCTGGTCAGTGGTAAAACGTGCAAGCTTCTCTGTTATGTACTCCGTTGTAAGGTCGTTACTGCCTGTTTTCTCGCTTTCTTTTCTACTGCTGGCCTGCAGATTCCTAAATTCCACCCAAAGACTGACGATGTCTTTTGTGACGTCGTTGGTTCCTTCCATATGTCCGGGATCTTCATTTCTTGTAACTCGTTTTCTTGCCGAGGTCTCTTTATCCTCGCTAACAATGCTGACGTTGCATTCACGGTGAACTTCCTCAAATCGTTCTTCTACAGAACTGGAAACATCCATTTTCTCTGATGCCATCTCGTCTACATGTACCGAATCCATATAATCTACTCTAGTTAAATCGACCACTTCGCTCTTGTTTTCAAATTCCCTAGCGACGGCCTTGGCTCGTTTGCTCTCTGTTTCAAAATTTTGGAAGTGCTTAAGGCTGCTTCGCAAGGGAGTAAATCTTTCCTCTATTATGATTGCTTCGTCGCATGTCTCTGGTAATAAGCTTTCAGGTCGTTGACTGCAGTCGTCATTCGTTTTACGTCGCTTTATTTCGACACTGTCATCGAGTGATTCTCGAAGAGATCTCTTCACGCTTTTCTTTTCTTTGCTGATGGGTTCTGTGTTATTGGGTAACGAAACTCTGTCCATTCTTGGCTCGTTTGTGATGGTAATATCTTCTTGACCATCCTCATCTTCTCGTAGGAAAGACGCCTGGATTAGAATGTATCGCAAACGATGCCTCCCTGGGTCAGCGGCGGACAAAATGGTAAATTTGGAGTTTCTGTCTCTCATTTCGCGGGAGAAAAAGATTGCTTTTGGTATGGTACATTTAGTTAACTTCATTTCAGGCCACTCTTCAAGTACTTCCTTAGTACTTGTCACGGTAACAATTTTCTCCTTAGTGCTGCAAAATCTTGATTTCAGAAGCTCGATATCGTTGGTTGTGCGATTTCCAACAGAAAGAGAAAGAATAAAAACCGGAGTTCCTTTGGCAGAAGGCTCCTGCTTTGCTTCGACTTCTTGAACTATTCTAGCGGGAGAGACTGTGTCTTCAATTCTTTCTCTTCGTGCATATCCAATGCATCCCTTGAAACACTTCTCAGGACCCTGAGTGTTGACAAAGTTGCGAAGATGTTCCAGGATTATACTCTCTTCAAAATCTTTGGGTAGCTCGCTCACAAGTGGTTGTTCCTCAAGAATGCTATCGTCTCTCCATTCAAAGATCTTTGGAAGTGTAAGGCTGTTTATCCAATCTTTGTACTGAACTTTGAGAAAGCTGTAACGATTGCATTTCACTACCCAGAGACCAGCTTTATCGCAGTCGTCATTGAACCGTAGGTCTTCCCAACAGGGCCATGGTCGATAGAAAACACCCTTTTCGACGGTACTCTTGACATTCAGCAAAACAGCAGCGTACACTTGGTTTCTTGAAAATGGAGTTACTGCCACTGGAACACTTCTGATAAGACCCAGTACTCCGTAGCTCTCATGTTGTTTGTTTCCAAACAGCTTGGCAGGACCTGTGTAGCTATACAGTGGAAACTCTTGATATTTGAACTCTTCTGTTAAAGGATGGGGCTCATATTTTATCTCATCATGATCAATTGGTGGAATTTCCTTTCCCGCCGCGATTTTCCGAAGATGGCTGAGTGGCTTAAGGAACGAACAGCGCTGCATCTGCATCACACCATTCTCGTCTCTTAGAATCCTTTCTGAGTGAATACTGCTTCGGACATCACCACCACGTTGTCATCCACCATAAAGATGTATTCCAGATTTAAGGCAAATGACATCTTTTGAATGAAAAGCCTTGCATACCCCACTCCTCCTTCATTCGGTCCAAGCTCATAGTTAGGCAACTTATCTGGCAGTTGGACAATGGTAAGCATCTTTCCCCACGTGGATCTGTAAGCATCGAATTTTTCCTTGTAAACAACGGCTATTTGTGCATATGTGGCGACTTGTCCCTTCTCTTGCATTACATGGTGGTAATTCAAGGTGCATTTGCGAGGATCATCTCTGTGTGAGGTATGAAAGATCCAGAAAGGCGACGGTAAAGGATTGAGCTCTTTAGGCTCTTCTGTAGAACTTGTGCTCTTGAGCTGTTCTAGCAAGTGTTTAAACGATTGGCGGCTGCTTGGGAGTGAACATTTAACAGTGACTGGTATGCCATCGATGCTAACTTTGAAGGTCTCCAAAACTGGTTCCTTACCTTGAAGAAGTCGTCCACAATCGACACATTTTTCGAAGTGGTACCAATGCCAAGCTCGTAAACCATCTACACTTTCTCTTTCCTGATACTGGTGATCGATCGCCGTCTTATCCTGTTCTGGGTTCATAAGAATGTTAGGAAATTCCTCCATATCATGTGTATAGAAGCAACCCTCAATTGAGTACTTTCCCGGTGCCACTGGTTCATCATGCAGGCTTGCAGAATTTTTAATCGTCTTCCAATAAGGAAATTCCCAGTCGTACCTTTCACCTGTGTCACGGACCAGAAATTCTTGGGAACAACGGTTCTCTTTATGGCGGCAAAAAATACCTTCTTCAAATGCAGGTGTTGCGGAAAGTGAAACTTTGTCTTCTCCAACGATACACTGTCGCAGTTCTCTTACTAGGCAAAGGTATGCGTCCGTCTTGCCTATCTGGGGTTCCGCGTGCAGAAGGATTCTGTTGCAATGCTTCTTTGCGTTTTGATAATCGTAGCTATCCTTTTGAGCCTTATAGTCTAGCCAACGCAAGGAAGAGCACTTCTCATCTTTGCTTCTTCTGCTCTTTGTCATGTATCGATCAACTTTCTGACGAGAAATTGCATTCATCGAAGGAGATGTTTTCAGTGACGCTTGAAGCGTCTTGAACAGCACCCGCCTAACCAGTACATAAGGCGTCTCACTGGCAGAGTACTTCGAGTAACGACACATTCTTCCAAGCTCTTGAATGATGGTTGAAAGATAGAATGGAGAGCCTTCTTTGAACTCGCAACTGCTGTCATGGCTGAGGCGAAGGTCGAGGCAGTCAAAGCTATGGGGGAATGTGTTTCCCATACGTCCTTTCTCAACCAGAATAAGGACACAAGCCAGATTTTGAAGGTCTTCATACTGCATTATCGACTTATGCACGTGGTCACAGTTGGCACATTTTTTGCGGCCAGCTTGTAGTTTCAACCCTGGGCAAGGGCAGTCGAACTTGTCGGCGCAGATTTCTGGTTGAAGCTTCTGAAAGAAGGGGCTTGATGATTTCATCAGTTGTTTCTCGATCTGAATGCCGCCATAGTCTCTGATGACTTCGAAACATTCTTCAAGAGAAGACACTGATCGTGTCAGTCGCAGAGTGAAATAAAATTGATCAGCGGTTTTCATGCTCTTGGCTTGGACAATTTTCATTCTTCCCATTTTTCCTTTTCCACTCCGGATTAGATTTTCTATCAAGGAACTTGTTTCGCCTTTTTTGAGATTACACATCCATTCTTCAATCATCTCTTGGAAGTCATTTTGTTACAGCCTTTGTTTTATCTCTTCAATATCGCTGTTTAGGTGAGGGTCTTCCATAATTGTTTGCAGCTCATTCAAAGGAAGATGCATAATGCAGGCGACAAATGAAGTAGTCAATTCTTTCGTTACTTTCTTTAACTCCTCTTGCTTTTCTGTCGTTGAATTGTGCTTACCGAATCTTCTCAATTGCCTGATACCTTCTTTAAAATCGTCTCTCGCTTTCTTACAGAGTTCCTTTCGAACAAACTCGAAAGCTTCAGGTTCAATGCACTTTTTGGAATTTGTTTTTTCTTTCCTTAGTTTGTTGGAAAGTAAATCGACTTTTCTGTCAAACTCAGCAACAGGTGATTCATCGATATTAGAAGTTAGTGCTTCCCGTATTTTCTCTTCAATGTCGTAAACGCTGGCAAGGAGAATGTAGTAGCAGTACTCCGAACATAGCAAGGCATCAACTGAGAAGGAAGGAGCGTCTGTTTTAGAAATTTTCTTCTGTCTCTTCGCCTTGTCCACGATCTTTTGGAAAAAGACATCTTCCCTTATCTTCTGCTCGTTTTTGTTGGAAGAGTTCATGGTGCTCAGGTAGAAATTCAAACTCATATACTGTTGTCCAACCAAGTCAACTTCTGCCGGACCACATCGATCAGTGAAGAATTGGTAGGAGAAAGAGCAGACTCCAGCTATATCTGGTGGTGGTTTCATGATGAACACACCACGTTTGCGCTCCACTCTGGCTGGTTTTAGACTGACATAACCAAGTTCATCAACACCAATATAGTGATTTTGTTTTGCACATGAACAAAACGCCAGAACTCCAACGCCAAAATCTAGCTTCAATTCAAATCTTGTTGGATTTGGGGGGTCAACTTTGGCAACCAAATTTTCGTTTGCATCTTGACTAACTGTCAGAGGCTTCGCTTGTTGCTGTTCGTTGGTTGGTAAAACTTTGAGGATCACGATCCCGTTGCTGCCTTGTACAATGAAATCATTAGCGTCGTCTTCAGTACATGTAACACCCAGCTCTCCGTCGGGAGAAACGTGAAGGTATTGATTTGGTGCATCTTCGTTACTTAGAGTTGATTTGAGCTTCATCCGCATCCCACTTTCGAAGTTTTTCAATTCGACTTCTGACCAGTGAACAACATGAAGTTCTACTTCCTTTGAGTTGTTTTTCACATGCTCTTCCAAGTCAGGTTCTCTTTCCAGCACCACAAGATCGCCTGCTTGATACTCATTTCCAGTGATAAAAATTTCGTTGTTAAGAAGACTGCATCGGACCTCTGGAAGACGAGAGTTCTCTGTTAGGAAGTTGAAGGGTGTTGCAGAGATCTGGACAACAAACACATTTTGGGGCGATTTGTCTTTACACCATTCGTTGATGAAGAGATTGTGGGCAGAAGGTTTCTCTTCCTTGTCTTTCCCGATGTCCCAGTGACACTCATCTTCTATGATGACGAAGAGAGTGTTAGGCTTTTCATGAACAGCCCTTTTGAGTTCTTGAAAGTGCTTTTCCGTTTCTGTGCTGTGAACATACATAAAAATCCGTTTCTTTCCATGTAAGCCATCTCGGGATTTCAGTTCTTCTTTCGACAATACACCAGCATCGGAATGACAGATCCTCTTCTCCGTCTGATCGCTGAGCATTCTATACGGGGCCGTGTACACCACGAACTCCACATCGTTAAAGACATTGCTCAGGCTCGAAATGTTGTGATAATGCGACATAATGATGTCAATTCGCTTTTTTAGGATAGCTGCCATCTCTATTTGCGAAGGATAATAGCAAGGCTTTTCAGGATTCGCTTGAACCTCTTTGTCAATCTCTTCTTCTTTGTCTGAGAGGTATTTATCTTCCATTGTAAAATCTTGGCAATCCTCCATTTCGTCATCAACCTCCTCCAGTTCAGCGCAGAACGCAATTTCCTCGGCAATAGCCTGATTAAGATTTGTCCGTAGCTCTCCAGTGGGGTCCGTCTCGCTGTTGATTAGGACGCGAATGCTTCTAATCGTTCCTTCTGCTGGATAAGGAGAAATGAGGTCTCCTGAGCTCTCGACGATTTCACGGATTCTCGAATTGGTTTGATCGTCTGTTGCACGAAACCAATTTATTCGCCTACGGTTCAATATTCGAAGCTCTTCCTCTAACGCTGAAGAAGGTTTGAGAAGTTGAATGAACTTTACCGTTTTTCTATCGGATATAGCATCAATGATTTCGCATAAAAAGTCACAGAAAAGGGATTCAGTCATAAAATCTAGGATCTGCAAATCAAGCGAACCGTCATAGTCCCCATGCAACTGAATGGTGCATTCCGAATCCGCGGAAATGGAGAAGTGAACGAACACAGGAAGTGTCAAATCGCGAATGACGTCACCTGGAACATAGAATAATACAGTTTTAATTCTTTTCGTGTCAGCAGATATTAGATAATCAAAGGGTAAAAAAACCCCGACCCGTGCTAGTTTAATATCCCGCCATTAATCAATCATTACGCCTCGTTAATTATCCGGGCCTGAACCCTGCGTAGGTCTATGCTTGGGGTCATTCAAGGCACTTTATTTCCACAATTCTTCCAACAATTTTCGCTTAATGTTGTTACGTGTAATACTCCTGGTAACTCGATAATGTGAAAACCGTACAAAGTGAACAAACCAATACAAGTTCTTTCTCCCTGGACAATTTTACCCCAGCTATTTTGCTCATGGACAGGATAAATGTATTATCCTCTATGCTCTTTGGTAATGCCAGCCATCTTTCCGCAAAAGTCTACATTTAGGGATGCGCGTTACCAAGATTACCGTGCCCAAGCCGTATTGACTGTGCTGGTATTCTGCGATAGCAAGTCACTGACCTGATATGGCTAAGATATCATGGTCTCTTAGACGAATTTGGGTACCGTACGGTAAGTACCCAATGGCACATTTTTCGTCGTTACGTTTCGGCGGCATATCAGGTTCGTCGGGTCTCGCCGTTAGTATTCTGGCTCGACTACTTCGTGGCGAAATATGAACCATAGCTTGGTTAAACTCGCCCGAAATGCCATCCAAGGGGAAAGAAAAGGTACGAGCAGGTATAATAACAAGTTGATTGCATGTTGGGTAAAGATTTTGTGGATAATCATAATATGCACAAATTACTACAGGCGTAGCTTCCAGTAGTACGCATCCCTCTCATGCCATTTTATACAACTTAATTGATTTTAAAGCAACCCAACTTTTGTAACATTGCGTAAATCATATAAGCTCATATAGAATTAAAAATAAACTTAAAACCAGGAAAAATCTATAACTATTTGAAAACCGGTTAAAATATACGTAACCGTGTTTTAAATGTGGTATGTACTTTGTAAGTAACGTTTGCCATGTTAACAAGCTATTGAGGAAAAATTCTGTTGTCTCTACTAATATGTATTTTAAGTCTTCTCAGTTTTCGCTAAAAATCTCGGCATTTTCTGGCTGACAACAAAATGTTCCTTATGGGACCGGGAGGTGGAAACTGAAGGTGGAAGGCGCACGCGGGAAGAGAGTTGCCCCAGCCAAATATAACTTAAATCTTTCTTTTGTAACGACTGGGACACTAGCATGGGACTTACATCTTAAAAAGCGGTGACTTACCTTGTTCAGACATTTTCTTCCCTCAGCTCCTGAATCTCTCCAATGAAATGTGCTTTACTGAAACCAAAGAATTAATTAAAGTATGAATTAAATGTGAAATGATAAAGTTAACTTAACACAGATATTGGTGAAAGAATTTCTGTTAGCCAAACCAAAAGTAAAAGCACAGAAAGATTGAAAACATAGGTTTCGCCTGTCGTTGGAAAACATGCTTTGATGGGATGTAAAACTTCTGGTAATTAAAGTTAAAAACTCTGTAAAATTGTGGAAAGGCGGAAATATCGTAAAAAGGCCACTTTTGATATGTTAATAACCTAGCATGGCTCCGAGTCTTTCAGGACAAAATTCGATATTTTTTACTTTGTTTTGTCCTTCAATTCCCAAAAGAGACTCGGACGGTTTAGTTAAAAACATGTATTGTATTTACAATTTTCAACAGAAAAAATTATCCTTTTTTCTAAGTCTCAGCATCAGGTTTTATTCTTGAAATATTCTTAAAATTTCGGCCTCGATATTTTTATAAGTTATATTCTTATAAAAAGGAAGTATAGTTAAGTTTTCAACAGTGATATAATCCATATCACGTTGCGACTGTCACGCGAGAGAGACATTGATATTGCGTTGAACGAGTTTTCAGTTTTCTGAGAATTACTCAAGACCATGCGACTTTCGTATGATAATTTGGTGCTGACATTGTGTGAGCTAACGCCCAAATACAAATCTTGTAATGGCCGTGACCATTATGGGCTCTGGAATAAAACAATCAGTTTCACACCTGTTGTGTGACTGTAACCTAATGAGCGGTAGCTGTGTCAACATTATACGATTCACTCAAAGCGTTTCCAAATTTAGTCTTCGAATCTTGTCGTAGTTGCTGCTTAGCACAAATTGTGATCGCATGATTGACTGGTGAATTCTTACAAGTTCGACATTTTTCATATGCAGCGTGACTGCAGGTTGATGAGGCATGTGACGATAATGTGGCTACCGTTTGTCACATCCGGTTTGTCNTCTTTACCCAAGGACTTTTTTCTGCTTTTGATTTTTCCATAGGAGTTAGCGTAGAGTTTCCACGTGGGAATTTTTGTCAAGTACGTGATGTAAATAAAAATATGCAAATGACATGAAATACGAGCGATGAGCGTTTGCCGCGAAAATTTCCCCAGGGTTCTCGCCCTTTGACAAGATTATGACACCTTCTTAGTTTATTAACTTTATTTGAAAATACGTTTTTTCTAAATAACTCGGCCGCTTTTTGAGATTTTTAATGTTTTTCCTTTGAAAACACTAGATAAAATGACGAACTTAAATTTTGTCAAATAAGAGAAGAAACGATGTTTTTGGCCTCTGAAGGTGGGAAGTAACCTTAACTTGTATGATCGAAATATCTTCGGATCTTCTTCGGTCGTCTTCAGTATTCTTCGGCAATCCTCGGAAATCTTGGGAAAATGTTCGGAAATGTTCTTAAAATGCTCGGAAACGTTCCTCTGGCCTTCGGAACAATTTTGGAAAATCTTCGGAAATCTTTGGAAAGTGGTCGGAAATCTTTGGAAAATCGTCAAAAATAGCGTCATCAGCATGTCTATATAATAAAAAGAACGTTACACGTTACCTCGAAGATATGAATTTTATGTTCTCGTGGCAAAAACAATATCTCACTCGTTCACTGCGCTCACTCGTGCGATATAGTTCTTGCCACTCGAACATAAAATTCATATCTTTTCGCCAACGTGTAATATCCTCTATGTATTTTGCTTGTTCGTGAGGGCTTTCGGAGTATATTTTGCTTTTTAAATGACCATAAAAGTTCTCTGTATACATGATTGGGTCGGTATAGGAACAAGACTATTTAATACACGATCTGATCTGAATCGCTGGTTTACACTGTCATGCCATCAAAAATAAAAATAAAAATTAGAAATCGTAACCATTCTGGGATAGAGCGATTTCCAATACATAACTTTATCCGTCCTTAGAGCAGGCGGAGCCTGGTCCAAATAGTTCAATCTATTGTTTGTTAAGTCGCAACCCGTGCACCCAGATTTTAAAGTATCAAAGAGTGTCAGAACAGACTTGTCATTTAATAACAAACTTACTCGTTCAACAAACAGTTGAAGGTTCGATTAAGAATATTAAACCTTTTTGAATAGACTATATTACAATATACCATAGATTAAAATAAATTCAAGAATAAAAATTTTCTTTAAATCAACTTAAAGACGGCATTAATTTCCCCTTTCGGGTTAAGACATTTCCATGTAAATGAGACCTAACAAATATCAATACTAAACTTATAAAACGATACATTGATTATCTTGTACATAATAGCATAAAGCTGGGCGAAAACGTCTGGGGCCATTGCTAGTCGTTACGTAATTATACAAAAAGATGGGTGGCTAAGTAGCTGCAGCAGTATAACTTTGCAAAAACCGATATCTACCCTGGTTCAAGACGTTTTCACTTTTCTGTTTCTCAGTTAAGGACCAGGACATCCCATATCATATAGAAATATCTAATTCTACAGTCGACCTAATCATTGAATTGGTCTAGAGCAGACTGTAATTTCATCTTGCTCTCTTTTGAAGCTCGTTATGTACAATTTCCTATCACTATTTATCATCAAGAGGAACATTTCCTCAAGTCTGTTCAATGAAGCGGCTCCCTTTAAGTGAAGACTTTAAAAATTAATACAATTCGTTTCGGAAATTACCATCTTAATCTTATTTTTTGACTTTACCTGATAATATTGACATTCTATATATCTACTCTAGAGACTGCCACTAAGGTCGAAGTAGTTCAGAAACCTGGTCGTGTCTAAGTTACAGCCTTACCATTGAGGTAAAATCTTAAAATTTTAAAATCGCAAACTAATTATGACAAGTGACAAAGCTTGTTTAACTCTACTGCTTCTCGGCTCATTGTTGTAAGTTCGCACCTTTCGCAACGAACCATAACTGAACTGGACACCTGGAATAGGTCTTTAAGACACTTGAGACACATGTCCCCTTCATCTCTGTCCAAGGTAGACAGTTGTCGGTTGAAGTAACAGGTGAACCTGTTGTTGATGTCGACTCTAGTGGACGAGGACCGTAAATTAGCACTTCCATTAGATGGAAAGCCAGCTAGTCATAGAACACAGAGCTGGTACTACGTGTAATCAACTGCATGCGGCTTCTTGACCACAATTTGAGAACATGAAGAGATGTTGGACGAGGGCACTAAGTTCCTTTGGGCTTCACTCCACTAACAAATCCAAAAAACCAAAACGTTTCAACCTTTGCAGTACAGGGCTCAAACATGGATGCACATTTTGCATACCGTTACACAATGCATTCACTTTGAAATGTATCATAGCCCGTTTCTCACCGCCTTTCTGCTACACAATATTGAGTAATACGAAGCATTGCGCAAGTGAGCTTTTCCCTACTTTGTTGTCTGGGAATAGTTTCAGTTATAAATCAAACTTAACTATTATCAGTATGAAAGGTCATGCTGTGGTTGTATTATTATTTACACTCTTCCTTTGTAATTGCTGGTTTACTAAGCTCAACAGTCCACCTCTTTTTTCAGCTGGCCTTGATGGCTCCAAGCCAGAGTTTTTCCGGTTTTAATTGTTCCTCTATAGCTTCTTAATAATCGATGCAAAATCATGTGCGATTTTAGTAGAATTCTACTCGTACACTAATGCAGAAGTTGCAATTTGATTGGCTGAGGTATCATACACCATAAGTGGTACGAGCTGCAGACGATAGAGACCTATGGGCGAACATCAGGAGCGGCAATAGTGCCCGCTCAGCGAAGTGATCATAAAACGCACCTTTCCCCTACAGTTTTTTTTTGTTGTTGTTGTTTGTTTGTTTGATTTTGGTTTTGGTTTTGTTTTTGTTTTTGTTTTTCTGATAAAAATAAAAAATAACCCTCCCGTGCGGATTTTGGTTAAAAGAGAGAAGGAAAACTAGTTTTTAGACTGAAAGTTTGGTAAAGTAAAACGTTAAGAGGGTGAAGAGGTTTCAAGATTGTGGACAAAAGCTACCTTTGAAATTTCTCGTTTCCCGGATTTTTGCAAGTCAACAGTTGACAAAAAAGATTGTTTGGACATGTACTAATTTGATGTCACTCAAAAAGGGCACCTCGATGGAACATACGAAAGCTCAAAGCGCTCCATAGCGGTTAGAGATTTCAATTAATAAATTCGTGTTCTCTTCACCTTTGAGAAACGCGGCCACGGGAAAATTTGGCATTGAAGAATGAAGGCAATAGAGTGTGTATGTCTGTTAGGAAGTTGGATTGTGTGGCGGAAGAGGGTTTCTTGTACAGGTGTAACAACATAAACGACTCAGTGCCAAACCTCTGCACCCCTCAACTAAATTAGTGTAATTAATGATTAAAAAACTGTTACCTAAAAAAGTTTTGCAGCAACTGACTTGAACCCATCTTTTCCATTTTTTGGCGCATGAAGTTGATTATGTTTTTCTTCCTCTCAGTGTATCCCGTCATATCTAGATGTTCTATGATTTCCAAAGGATTCTTTCCTTCGTTGTTGTGCATCGTTTTCCATTTTAGTGGCTTGAAAAGAGGAAACAGTTTCTCGAAGGAAACTTTTGACGCTGAAAGAACGCAATGATGTAGAGCGGTATTCCCATCATCGTCGGCGCTTCCAAAAGATAGTTCTTTTTTACGTCTTGTGAAAGTGGGGACTAGTTTGACATTTCCACTTTTTATTGCCACTGACAAAGCAGACATTCCTGGAATCAATCCTTTTGTTGCTGAATGGTTTCTGTCAAAGGTCTTGGGCAGCGTACAGTTGATATCTACCTTTCTTTCAATGATAAGGTGCTGCATCACATGAGGGCTCATGGTAGGCAGAGAACAAGCTTTCAGGAGTGCAGTGTAACCTTTGTCGTCTTTCGCCTGCAGCTGATCGGTGGAAAAACGCGAGAGCTTTTCTTTCACGTATTGCGCCGAAAGATCATTACTTCCTGTTTTCTCGCCGTCTTTCCTACTGCTGCTCGGCAGGTTCCTAAATTCCCTCCAAAGACTGACGATATCTTTTGTGACATCGTTGGTTCCTTCTATATGTCCAGGATCTTCACTTCTTGCATCTCGTTTCTTTGCCGAGGTCTCTTGGTCCTCACTTAGAATGCTGATATTGGATACATTGTCAACCTCCTCATTTTCTTCTCCACCAGATTCAAAAAAATCCATTTTCCCTGATGCAATCATGATCTCTTCGTCTACATCTACCGAGTCCTCAGAATCTACTCTAATTAAATCAATCTCTCTATTCTTGTGCTTGAATTCGCTGACGACGGTCTTGGCTTGTTTTCTTTCTGGTTCAAAATTTTGTTCCCAAAAGGGATTAGGGCTGCTTAGCGATTTCTTCGGAGTACACCTTTCCTCTATTATGCTTATATCGTCAGATGCCTCCGGAAACACGCCTTCCGGTAATTGACTGCAATCTTCATCAGTTTTAAGTCGCTTGACTTCGACGCTGTCATCGGATGATTCTCGAAGGGATCTCTTTACCCTTTTCTTTGCTTTGCTCATAGGTTGCACGTTATTAAAGGACGTACCTCCGTCGACCTCTGGCTCATTTCTGATATTGGCAGGACGATTCTCAATTCTTCCAGTGATGTCTTCTGGATCATTCTTATCTTCTTCCGGAAAAGACGCCTCGACTAAAATGTATCGTAAACGATGACTCTTGGGGTCCGCGGCCGACAAAATGGAAAATTTAGCATTTCTTTTTCTCATTTCGGAGCAGAAACAAATTCCCTTCTTGCTTGCTATGGTAGCCAAACTCATCTGAGGCCACTCCTCAATTGCCTCCTCTGCACTTGCGACGAAAATAATCTTTTCTTTGATGCTGCAAAATATCTTATCCAGAAGACTTAATGTTTTACGCTCTGAATTTGTGACACAGAACGAAAGAATAACAGCAGGAACTCCATTGGTGAAATCTTCTTCCGTAGCCTCCTTTCCCTGGACTTGTTGAACTATTCTTGCTGGACAGACTGTGTTTTCCATGTCCTCTTGTTGCTCATACCCGAGACATCCTTTGAAACACTTCTCCGGACCCTTTGTGCTAACAAGGCTGGAAAGGTGTTTCAGGATAAGATCTTCTTCAAAATCTTTGGGTAGCTCGCTCGCAATTGGTCGTTCCTCAAGAATGCTATCATCTTTCCACTCAAAGATCTTTGGAAGAACAAGGTTGTTGATCCAATCTTTGTACTGAACTTTGAGAAAGCTGTAACGGTTGCATTTCACTACCCAGAGACCAGCTTTATCGCAGTCGTCATTGAACCGTAGGTCTTCCCAACAAGGCCATGGACGATAGAAAACACCTTTTCCGACGGTACTCTTGACATTCAGTAAAATAGCAGCGTACACTTGGGTTCTTAAATATGGAGTTACTGTGACTGGAATACTTCTGATAAGACCCAGTACTCCGTAGCTCTCGTGTTGCTTGTTTCCAAACAGCTTCGCAGGACCGGTGTAGCTATACAGTGGAAAATCCTGAGATTCAAACTCGTCTGTTAAAGGATGTGGCTCATAGTTTGTCTCATCAATTGGTGGAGTGTCCTTTCCCTGCGCTATTTTCTGAAGATGGCTGAGTGGTTTGAGGAAAGAACAGCGCTGCATCTGCATCACACCATTCTCGTCTCTTAGAACTCTTTCTGAGGGTGACGATGGGTCACCAGTCCTAAATACTGCTTCGGACATCACCACCACGTTGTCATCCATCACAAAGATGTATTCCAGATTTAAGGCAAATGACATCTTTTGAATGAAAAGCCTTGCATACCCCACTCCTCCTTCATTCGGTCCAAGCTCACAGTTAGGCAACTTATCTGGCAATTGGACAATGGTAAGCACCTTTCCCCACGTGGATCTGTAAGCATCGAATTTTTCTTTGCGAACAACGACTGCTTGTATATAGGTCGCGACTTGTCCCTTCTCTTGCATTACATGGTGGTAATTCAAGGTGCACTTGCGAGGATCATCTCTGTGTGAAGCATGAAAGATCCAGAATAGGGAGGTAAGGGAATTTTGCACTTTAGCAGCTTTTCCTTCGGATCTCGTTCTCTTCAGCTGTTCGAGCAGGTACTTAAAAGATGTGTAGCTGCTTGGTACTGAACATGTAACAGTGACTGGTTCATCATCGATGTGAACCTCGAAGGTCTCCAAAACTGGTTCTTTGCCTTGGAGAAGTCGTCCACATTCGGCACATTTTTCGAAGTGGTACCAATGCCAAGCTCGAACGCCATCAGCACATTCAGTCTGCTGATATTGGTGATAAGACTTGGTCGCGTTCTGTTGCTCTCGATTCATAAGAATGAAAGGACTTTCCTCCAAGTCGTGAGTATAGAAACACCCTCCAATTGAGTACTTTCCCAATGCCACTGGTCTATCGTACAGCCTTGGAGAGTTCTTGATCGTCTTCCAATATGGAAATTGCCAATCTTGAGTTTCCATGGTCTCACTGACCGCGATCTCTTCGGAAACATGACACTGTTTATGTTGGTAAAAGATACCTTCATCAAATGCAGGTGTCGCGGAAAGAGAACCCTTCTTCTTTCCAAGAATGTCCAGTCTCAAGTCTCGTATGAGGCAAAGGTATGTTCCCGTCTTGCCAATCTGGGGCTCCGCGTGCAGAAGGATTCTGTTACAATGCTTCTTTGCGTTTTGATAATCGTAGCTATCCTTATGAGCTTCATAATCTAGCCAACGTAGTGATGAGAACTTCTCCCCTTTGCTTCTGCTGCTTTTTGTCATGTACCGATCAATTTTGTTACAAGAAATGGCACTCATTGAAGGTGACGTTCCAAGTGACTTTTGAAGCGTCTTGAACAGCACCCGCCCAACCAGTACATAAGGCGTCTCACTGGCAGAGGACGTTGAGTAACGACACATTCTTCCGAGCTCTTGAATAATAGTTGAAAGATACAATGACGAGCCTTCTTTGAACTCGCAACTGCTGTCATAGTTGAGGCGAAGGTCGAGGCAATCAAAGCTTTGGGGAAATGTGTCTCCCATCCGACCTTTTTCAACCAGGATGAGAACGCAAGCCAGATTTTCAAGGTCCTCATACTGCGTTATCGATTTATGCACATGGTCACAGTAACCACACCTTTTGCGGCCAGCTTGTGGCTTTAAGACACGGCAACGGCAGTCGAACTTGTCGGCGCAGATTTCTGGTTGAAGATTCCAAAAGAAGGGACTTGATGATTTCATCAGCTGTTTCTCGATCTGAATGCGGCCATAGTCTCTGATGACTTCGAAACATTCTTCAAGAAAAGACACTGATCGCGTCAGTCGTAGAGTGAAATAAAATTGATCAGCGGTTTTCATGCTCCTGGCTCGAACAATTTTCATTCTTCCCATCTTTCCTTTCCCACTCCGGATTAGATTTTCTACCAAGGAACTTGTTTCGCCTTTTTTGAGATTACTCATCCATTCTTCAAACATCTCTTGGAAGTCATTTAGCTGCAGCCTTTGTTTTATTTCTTTAATCTCGCTGATGAGGCGAGGGTCTTCCATAATTTTTTGCAGCTCATTCAAAGGAAGATGCATAATGCAGGCCACAAATGAAGTAATCACCTCTTTCTTTACTTTCTTTAACTCCTCTTGCTTTTCTGTCGTTGAATTGTGCTTACCCAATCTTCCCAATTGCTTCATGTTTTCTTTAAAATCGTCCGTCGCTTTGTCACAGAGTTCTTTTCGAACAAACTCGAAAGCTTCCGGCTCAATGTACTTTTTGGAATTTGTTGTTTCTTTCCTTAGTTTGTGGACAAATAAAGTGACTTTTCGGTCAAACTCAGCGACAGGTGATTCATCGATATTAGAAGTTAGTGCTTTCCGTATTTTCTCTTCACTGTCGTAAACGCTGGCAAGGAGAATGTAGTAGCAGTACTCCGAACATAGCAAGGCATCAACTGAGAAGGAGGGAGCGTCTGTTTTAGACATTTTCTTCTGTCTCTTCGCCTTGTCCACGATCTTTTGGAAAAAGCCATCTTCCCTTATCTTCTGCTCGTTTCTGTTGGAAGAGTTCATGGTGCTCAGGTAGAAATTCAAACTCATATACTGTTGTCCAACTAAGTCAACTTCCGCCGGCCCAGATCGATCAATGAAGAATTGGTAGGAGACGAAGGAGATCCTAGCTACCTCTGGTGTTGGTTTCATGATCGACACACCACATTTGCGCTCCACTTTGGCTGGTTTTAGACTGACATAACCATGTTCATCAACAGCAAGATAGTGATTTTGTTTTTCACATAAACAAAACGCCAGAACTCCAACTCCAAAATCTAGCTTCACTTCAAATCTTGTTGGATTTGGGGAATCAACTTTGGCAACCAAATTTCCGTCTGCATCTTGACTAACTGTCAGAGGCTTCGCTTGTTGCTGTTCGTTGCTTGGCAAAGCTTTGAGGATCACGATGCCGTTGCTGCCTTGTACAATAAAATCATTAGCGTCGTCTTCAGTACATGTAACACCCAGCTCTCCGTCGGGAGAAACCTGAAGGTATTGATTTGGTGCATCTTTGTTATTTAGAGTTGATTTGAGCTTCATCCGCATCCCCCTTTCGAAGTTTTTCAATTCGACTTCTGACCAGTGGACAACGTGAAGTTCTACTTCTTTTGAGTTGTTTTTAACATGCTCTTCCAAGTCAAGTTCTCTTTCCAGCACCACAAGGTCACCTGCTTGATAATCATTCCGAACGGTAGAGATTTCGTTGTTAAGAAGACTGCATCGGACCTCTGGAAGACGAGAGTTCTGTGTTAGGAGGTTGAAGGGTGTTGCAGAGATCTGGACAACAACCACATTTTGGGGCGATTTTTCTTTACACCATTCGTTGATGAAGAGATTATGAGCAGATGGTTTCTCTTCCTTGTCTTTCGTGATTCCCCAGTGACATTCATCTGCTATGATGACGAAGAGGGTGTTGGGCTTTTCATGAACATCCCTTTTGAGTTCTTGAAAGTGCTTTTCCGTTTCTGTGCTGTGAACGTACATAAACATCCGTTTCTTACCATGTAAGCCATCTCGTGATTCCAGTTCCTCTTTCGACAATACACCAGCATTGGGATGACAGATCCTCTTCTCTGTCTGATCGCTGAGCATTCTATACCTGGCCGTGTACACCACGAACTCCACATCGTTAAAGACATCGCTCAGGCTCGAAATGTTGTGGTAATGCGACATAATGGTGTCAATTCGCTTCTTTAAGATAGCTGCCATCTCTATTTGCGAAGGATAATAGCAAGGCGTTTCAGGATTCGCTTGAACCTCTTCGTTAATCTCTTGTTCTTCGTCTGAGGGGTATCCATCTTCCACTGTAATGTCTTGGCCTTCCTCAATTTCTTCATCAATCTCCTCCAGGTCAGCATAGAACGCGATGTCCTCAGCAATAGCCTGATTAAGATTTTTCCGCAGTTCTCCAGTGGGGTCTGTGTCGTTGTTGATTAGGACGTCGATGCTTCTAATCGTTCCCTCTAGTGGATAAGGAGCAATGGAATCTCCAGACCTCTTGACGATTTCACGGACTCTTGAATTAGTTTCATCGTCAGTTACACGAAACCACTTTAGACGCCTACGGTTAAATTTTCGAAGCTCTTCTTCTAATGCTGAAGACGGTTGGAGGAGTTGAATGAACTTTTCCGTTTCTCCATCGGATATAGCATCAATGATTTCGCATAAAAAGTCACAGAAAAGGGAATCAGTCATAAAATCTGGGATCTCCCAATAGAACAAACCGTCATAGTCCCCATGCAACTGAAGAGTGCATTCCGAATCCTCGGAAATGGAGAAATGAACGACCACAGGAAGTGTCAAATCGCGCATGACGTCGCCTGGAACATAGAATAATACAGTTTTAATTTGTTCGTGTCAGTAGATAGTAGATAATCAAAAGGTTAAAAAGCTCGGCCCCTGCTAGTTTAATATCCCGCCATTAATCAATCATTACGCCTCGTTAATTATCCGGGCCTGAACCCTGCCTAGGTCAATCCTTGGGGTAATTCAAGGCACTTTATTTCCACAGTTCTTCCAACAATTTTCGCTAAGGTTCTTACGTGTAATACTCTTAGTAACTCGATAATGTGAAAATCGTACAAAGTGAACATACCAATACCAAGTTCTTTCTCCCTGGGCTATTTTGCCCAAGCTATTTTGCTCATGAGCAGAATAAACGTATAATTCTCTATGCTCTCTTGTAATGCCAGCCATCTTTCTGCAAACGCCTTCATTTAGAGATGCGCGTTGCCACGATTACCGTACCCGAGCCGTATCGACTGTGTTGGCATTCTGCGATAGCAAGTCACTGACCTGATATGGCTACGATATCATCGTCTCTTAGAGGAATTTGGGTACCGTGCGATAAATACCTAATCGCACTTTTTTTCTTCGTTGCGTTTCGGCGACTTATCAGGCTCGTCGGGTCTCGCCGTGAGTATTCTGGCTCGACTACGTCTTGGTCAAATACGAACCATAGATCGATTAAACTCGCCCGAAATGCCATCCAAGGGGAAAGAAAAGGTACGAGCAGGTATAATAAAAATTTGATCGCATGCTGGGTAAAGATTTTGTGGAGATTTATATTATGCACAAATTACTACAGGCGTAGCTTCCAGTAGTACACACCCCTCTCATACCATTTTACACAACTTAATTGATTTTAAAGCAGCGCAATTTTTGTAACATGGTGTAAATCATATAGAATTGTAAATAAACACTGAACATTAAAACCAGAAAAAAATCCAAAACTATTTGAAAACCGGTTAAAAATACCTAACCGAGTTTTAAATGTGGTATGTACTTTACAAGTCACGCTAGCCATGTTTAGAAGTTATTCAAGCAAAATTCTGCTGTCTCTGCTAATATGTATTGTAATTTTTTTTCGTTTAAAATCTCGGCATTTTCTGGCTGAAAACAAAATGTTCCTCACGGGACAGGTGGAAGGTGCACGTGGGAAGACAGTTGCCCCAGCCAAATATAACTTAAATCTTTCTTTTGTAACGACTGGGACATTAGCATGTGGTTTATGTATTAAAAACAGTGACTTACCTTGGTCAGACATTTTCTTTCTTCAGGTCCTGAATCTCCCCAATGAACTATGCTTTACTGAAACCAAAGAATTAATTAAAGTATGAATTGAATGTGAAATAATAAAGTTAACTTAACACGGACGCTGGCGAAAGGTTTCATGTTAGTCAAACCAAAAGTAAAAGCACAGAAAGATTGAAAACATAGGTTTCGCCTGTCGTTGGAAGACATGCTCTGATGGTGATGTAAAAATTCTGGAAATTAAAGTTAAAAATCCTGTAAACTTGTGAAAAGGCGGAAATATCGTAAAAAGGCCACGTTTGATCAAGAGATTATCAAGGTAAGAGAGTGAATCTCCCATATAGGCCTTCTACCCAAGGTAATCCCTCTTAAGTTATTTTTAGACAGGGTGCTCAGTTCTTCCGAGGATGTTACTCNTCAAGACTAGAGTGCTAAAACCATACCCTATTTAAGACCAAAATGGCCAAAATCAAAATCAATAAATTTGCCAGCAGCAACAAAACAGAAAAAAAAAATAAAGTTTCAAAGCGCCGATCTTTTGGTTGCCATTATGGTCACTGATGAAATGTGACAATTTGGGTCAGTGGAACCCAATATCATGAAGGGAATCTTTGTTCACAATATTTGCCTCATCAGCATAAGCGTTTCAGTTTTTGATATCATTTTCCGACTATAGGCTCAATTTATACCAGGACACCAGAGGGCGGCGGAAATCGAGCCTCTTGAAATGCCACAGCACGATTTATTATATATACTGGTCAAGGAATTTGAGCGCGACGTACTGAGTACTTTTCGTGCGACGCGGGTTTAAAAACGCAACATTTTACAAAGAATTTATGAGCTGATTAGCGCTTTTGGCAACCATAAATTTTGCAGCTCTTCTCCTTGAATATTACACCGGAAGAGCCAAATGTTTTACCAATCAGTAAGTTTCACAAGCTCCTAAAATGTTTGGAGCTCAGAATATGTATCAAACAAAGTGTTTTATCAGCGCAAAGGAAAACAAAGAAGTGAAACAAAGGTGTAAGCAGGCAACATCATAGACTAGCAACCCTGGTTATTACGGTTTGATGTGATTTTTGACGTGATTTCCTTTGTCTCCGAATAAATAAAGTGTTTTCTTGTTGTTGTTGTTGTTGCTGCTTCTGTTGCTGCTACTGCTGAGCACAAACTCTGAGTGATTGCGTGACTTTCGTTAACGTGATGAGAGACTGTAGGAAGATGATACTTTTCGTCTAGCTGCTATGCAAATTACCTCCTTCTGACATGACTAACGTAGCAAAATTTACTTTAAAGTGATCTTAACCCGTCGTGTATCTGCACGTTGGATGAGTATGATACTGTATTAGATTCTAGTTTCACCTTGAACGGATGCTCAGGATGCTTGATGGCTCAGTTTTTTGATGTCAAAAGATCCGCTTCTTGAAAGGCTCCACAGAGGCTCGACTGCAAAATTAACCAAAAACAGGAAAGCCTTGCTCGATTTATAGTGTCCGGGCCTATGTATTACTAACAGGAATGTATAAACTAAAACTTACTTGTGCTTGGCGTCCGCTACACACGCCAGGAGCATGGTTTGCTCATGCTGAATACTGGCCAGCCTCGGGAGATGGAGGCATGCAGATACTCATTACAGTCTGCAAAATGCACAAGAACTCGATCGATTTGCAGTGTAGCTTCAGTGTCTTAATATGTGTCCACTTCGAAGACAGGAAGAAGGAGTTGAAACGGTAGTAAGATGGCTTGTGGCTACTCCGCCAAATTTACACGACCGTTTGAAATTTGATCCTCTTCAAGAATCAAGCTGTTTCTCAGAATCTGAGATGACTGTTTGGCATTTTTCCCGGAAATAGCGCGTCGAGTGGATCTGAGCGTAAACAAGTGATGGATGCTTTGAATGATATTTGTCATCTAGGGGGGTGCGTTCCTGTGGGGTGATCTTGATCAGGATCAGTGATTAAAGATCACTCGGATCATGATAGTGCATCAAAGAAGCCGATGAATCCGTCACCAGAGTGGATTCGTCGGTTCCTTTGATGTACCATGATCCGAGTGATCTTGGATCACTGATCCTGATCTAGATCACCCCAAAGGAACGCACCCTAAGATTCGAATTTTGGCATTTCGTTAGCCTGCTTAGCTGGCGGTTTAGTTGGTTGGGGTATAGGGTCGTATACAGCTTGATCCTCGAAAACGAGCGGCGAAGCCGCGAGTGGCCTCTCGTCCCCCGGAGGAAACGACAGGGTTGCTCGTCGGAAATTTCAAAAAGACCAAAATCCAGTTTTGCGGGCTTGACTTGAATTTTTTTCACCCCTAAGAGGTACTAATTCTTAAACTACCCATTAACTAACAATGTCATAATTTTTAATAGCAATAAAGACGATTGCTTCGATAAAGTTGATCGTCAAATATCTTCTGTCATTTTTTTCGTGGGGGGAGGCTAAATTCTTGGTTTTCATGTGACGTAGTCATACTCCAAAATTAGAAATTATCTTTCGTTCTGAGGTTTTAGTTTCATGAGATAAAAGACCTTATAGGAAAGTGACGTTTGACAGTGTTTTAGCTCGACAGAGTTCTTCTTTTTGTAATAGAGCACTCCAAGCTTTTGCGTTGCGTGACATGAATGGCGGTTCGAAAAGACTGTCGCGTAGGTCAAAAGATGAGTTATCGCTTTAGTTTTTGCTAAATAAACGGTGCTTGCACTAGTAGAAGCATTTATTTCAATGTATAGGAGCTCTAGAGTAAAAATTTTCGTTTCAATAGGAAAACTCAACGACAGATGCTTTTGTTATTTTACGGCGACCATGTTTGTACCCCTCCGAAGGGCACAAACGTGGCGTCTCCA